GAGATATCAGTAGCATAATAGGCCGACTACTAGTACAACAAGACGCGACAGTGGTATTCAACCCCACCAGCAGCCATCCCATATGTGGTGGAGTCATGAAAGGTAAAATCAGCAACCGTCCGAGCTGTCTTTCTCGGGCATCGGCAAAGCCAGCAACCATCGACGAAGGAGAGACTATCAACTTTATTCTGCATACGTTGAACGGCCAATTGTCAATGGTAGATGACTAACGAAGCTCTCAGACGACCCTACGACCCGCACCCTTACACCAAACACCTGCTGCCTGGCTGAGATCGCGGGCACAGCACACAACGACCCGAAAGTTGTCAGCCAGGACACTTATAGACAGACGATGGCCGCAAAAGTCCAGTACTTTTATCGACGCGTATTTTGGACCAGGTGGATTAAGGAGTATCTGCGCCTACCCTACAGGAGAGGCCAGAAGCAGGCAGAAGTGGCTGAAGCGCGAGAGTAACTTCCAGAAGGGAGACTTGGTGCTTCTTGTGAATGAGACTACTCCACGTTACCAGTGGCCTCTGGGGCTTATCACCCAGACTTACCCATCCGGTGATGGATTGGTCAGGTCTGTGCAAGTCAAGACACAGAACGGACTATACACGAGACCTGTGCACAAGCTGTGCCTACTTGAAGCAGAGCTAGTGTGATTTAAGCGACATAGACTAAGAGGATGACCTTAGCTGTGCCCATGGACTGTATAAACGAGTTTCTGTTGTCACCATTTAGTTAGGAAATGAGTGCTGATAGCCTCATCAGGGCCGGGATGTTGGTGACAACTCCTGCCGCTACGCGGTTACGCGGTGCACTCCTTTATGCAGCAGCGCATTGATACAGGCTAGTTGCTAAGGGATGTGACGCACGCGCTCTTTTGGCCATTGTGGCTTACCGTAAAGACGCAAATTTTAATGTGCTTCTAAAACCCTAAAGAACCCAGCGTGGTAAGGGATTTGTGTTTATAAATAATTATTAATGTCTTTCTAAATTAATACTAATAGTAGCAGATTCGGCTGTGATTGCCGTACGTGTATTTGAATGGTATTTACCAGAAAGTTTGTTGTACATAGCAAGCGACACAAACAGCATAGCACACACGGTAAATAGTAAATTTGCTCTTTGAATTTGTTTCAGATTAACCGTTCGTTAAGATACGTTCGTTCGTTATGTTACATAAGACGACATAGGCAGAAAATAAGAAAATAAAGAAGAACGTGTGTGATCCGCTGGAGCTTGATATGAAAAGAAAAAAAACACCATTTAGATGTAAAATAAACAAAGAAGTTAATGTAGTCATTCCGCTACACAGCATATTATACGAACGTACATAATAATAACGTCTGATGGCTGACCGTAGCCTTGCACGTTTTGGTTAGATGGGTTCGCGGCCCCACTGTTTCTGACAGGCGGTGCGAGTTTAGCGCTGGGGACCAGTCTACGTACTTCCTGGCTAGCATTGGTTTATAACTTTATAACATAATGGCGATACCACATGCCGATGGAAACGGCTGTGATTGGCCATTTGTAAAGTGTCGCCGTCGAAAGTCGCTGGAAAATAGAAACGTTTCTAAATATTTTTATCGTCGAGGTTGTCGTCGGTCGTCGTCGCGTCAGTGTGCAATGGCTCATAGGAAACAATAGTTTCTAATTTTCTGAAAAGTCGTTTGTCATTACGGTCGGTCGTTGTCGCTGCAGTGTGTCTTGGCCTTAATGATTTGAACGTTAATACTAAATTAACAGGAGCTAATAATGACAAATTGTCATAAAATAAATACAACAATAATAATGACAAATTGTCACAAATAAACATTTGTCATTATTAGCTCCTGATACTAATAGATCACTCTTGAATGATGATATCATGACATATATGTCGATCATGATGATATGATAGCCCGACCAGGCTGTGCGACGGATTGTCTATACTACCCGGTATTCTAACCCTAACAATACCGTTTCTTGGAGCTAGACAGTCTGCAGCCCGGATCCGCGCGAAGCGCGAACAGCGCCATCTCATGGCGCCATTAGGGTCAATTCGCTGCCCAATATGTATAACTATATACGCAAATCACTTTGTGTAGTACATAAAGCCCCAGAATCGGTGAATTGAGCAGTTCTGGCCATTGCCGAAATTTTTGGACTTTGCACGTAGTGCGAGAATAAATCGAATGGTCGTAATTGGTGTTTTTTTTTCTTCGCGCGGTACGTTTTTTCCCTATGAAAACCGACTTCGACATTTATTTCAATGATTAATCGCCCTGACGTCGTCTTCTGGTAATTCGGCGGCCGCAGTGCAGCATCGCGGCGCCTCACGGCAGGCTCTCCCTCCCGAGCTTAGCGCTTTCGCCGACCGAATTTCGTTAGACCTGCGCCGCGCTCGAGAAATTTCCCACCACGCTGCGTACCTATGACTTGTTCGTGTAGCGAAAGAGACCTGCCCGAATTTACACGTCGTGGCCAGTCCTACACCTGGAATCGCCTGACATCGCCGTGTTCGTTATCCGTAGGCCGATCTTGGGCTTCTGCCTAATTGGACCTGTTCACCCGCGCGCTCTGCATCTCCGTCTCCAGACTCAGCCCCGTTTTGCCCGTTTTGCATATTACCAGCCCCCTGGCAGTGAGCGTCAGCCCTGCACGTACCGCACACCCCTGCATGATCATCAGTTCTTTAGACTGAGCCACATGCGGCCTAGAGACCGTGTCCAAGATGGCGTTGCGCAACAGATGCGTTGTTACCCCGCCCGCACTACTATACTACTACTTACTAGTACTAGCCGTAGAGTCAGTATCTACTAAGTTAACCAGCACTACGATAACTATACTAGTACTGAGTACTACCCGGACCGCGCAGCGAGCACTATACCTCAGTACATAATGACTAACGTCCTGTTACCTGAGTATTAACTACCTTACTAATCTAGACGCATCGCTACCGCCTCACCCTAACGCCTGATTCTCTTGATATACATAGATTATATTTTAGCTTGAATGTAAATACATTGTTTATTGGCGCATGCCATACCATTTGGCCTCATCATAACTTCGGGCCGGGCCCATTTTCTGCTATGCCCTTGAACCACTGAGTAGCTAGCCTTAGACTACAACGACCTAGGCAAGACAATCGCTCTTGGCTTCGGGTTTAGAATACCCGCCTGTAGGCTATTACCTAGACCCAGGCCCTTGACGCGTTTCATAAAAAATGCTCAACTAATAACGAACTCTACATTTAGCTAACGAATGTGTTCATCGTTTCTAGTATAGGCCTAACTCTCCTTGCAAGCAGGTTGCGCGGGTTCCAAAGGCTACTATACGTACGCCGGCCCATCGCTCCCACCGCTCGATTCGGCCCATCTGACAGTGAGCAAGCTAAGCCGAGAGGCGTGCGGAGAGTGCCATCTAATGGGCTATAGGCGGCGGCCGCGCGCACGATGCTTTCCAACTCGCGCGTGACGAGCGCTCGGCCATTGGAGAACGTTGCACCAAAACGTCTGCACTGCGTTGGCCGCGCGCACCGAGCGCCGGTAGTGTTTCGTGATTCTGACATCGCCGCTTTGCATTACTGGGCAAGGTCGCCGCATGTCACGAATTATCGGGACCCAGTCTTTCTCGTGATCGCGTCCACACCACCCGCCCCAGCTCGGGTTACGAACAGATTACTCGGTCTACAGTTTTATCGCAAGTCACCTGTTGACGTCCCCAATGCTACCCTCTGTGTCCCCCAGTATCAATTGCGGACGTGTCGCGGCCGCTCTGATCCGTCGCGCGGACCGCCAATTCATTCGGCGCACGGATCCATAGCTGCCAGCGCTGCATACTGTCGTAGGACGTTGCCGCGGTCGCGTGCGCCTTGCCGCGGAACTGCGCGAAAGATCTGCGCTTCAGCGCAATTGGGATCAACATCTCCTTTCGGCAACGCTTCTCTAGTATCCCGTCTCATCTGGATCATTAGATGATATGAATACTTAGTTCATTATGAATGAAAACGTAACGACGTGTCAAACACTAAACACGTGTTTAAATAAATATTTTGAAGTGTTTAGTCGGACTATCTATCACCACACAGAAATATCGTAAGCATTGCCATTACCTGCCGATGAAATTTCTCTTCCTACTTGTCGCCAAACAGGAGCGAACCGTTGACAGTGACCGCACCAGCTGGAATAAAACTCCACGACCCAAGCATTACTTTTCCCAAAGATCGTTGATTTAAAATTATTAGTCGATAGCTGAACTATGGGATCATCATGTGAATACAATGACTCTAATTTTGTAAAAGAAGATAAACCTATCAAATGTGAAGTACACACCGACAGTAAGAGAATCAAAGAGTTACCGCGCGATGACATCTTGCACGCCACTGCCACACAACACACCAGGCGCATCCAATGAACATATCACGTGATTACACAATGCAATAGAGTGTCCACCAATCAAAATACTTTGTTACTAGAGGTAAAATGGCAGGCTTTGGGTCCAACTTTGGGTTGTTTTCGTGTTGTGATGAAGTAAAGTGGAAAACTGTGCTAAATTTATATTGTAAAGCACTAAATATATACTCAGGAAAGAAAGCTAAACCACAGGATGGAATTGAACTCATTAAATTGGACAAATGGCACGTATAGACTTAGTACAAGTTATTTAAGTTAATTATATATACAACGAAATGTTTTAATTGTTTACAATCTAACCAGGAGTACAATACCAGGAGTAAGATAATATAGGCCTACTCCTTACTCCTGATAATACTAATAGGCCTAGTAGTAGTATTATTATTAGTAATACTAATAGTATAACGTAGGCCTAGTACATATTTGTGAATGTGTGTCTGTTTGTCTGTTCTTGATGCAAATCACGGCGATTCACGCGCGGTAATGCCCATACTCATACTCATAGTGTAGTGCCCCTATAGGGTAGACCAATAAGACCAATAGATTGTGCCCTAAAAATCGTTATATTCTGATATTATTTTAGGGCCCAATAGCCTTCCATAGACAAAACCTGTGAATTCTGTCATGCAAAATGCTAGCTCTAGTACGATAGCCGCTTACATTAGCTGCCGCTGGGCTATAGACCGACCCATGGGGCATGCGATGGACCAACTTACTCCAGCCAGTCAGCGGGTTGTGTTGGTTGTGGACAAAAACATTGTTGTTGTCAAGTAACAAATTAATAATAGTAATTTGTTCATCTTTCATGACAAAACTAATATTACAATCTCTTTTGATCGCTTAATTTGTTACTTGACAACAACAATGTTTTTGTCCACAACCACCCCAACCCGCCCACCCCTCAACACGCGGAAATACATAGTTCCCGCTGACTGGCGCTGCTGCAGCGCCGCCAAAAATGGCCGTTTGAAGTTCGCAAATCGAATGTTTGTTCACAAGAAATACCGCAAGTATACCATTGCAACGATAGTTAGAGGTTCAATTTTAGTAGCGGCTATAACTTAAGACGTATTCACTTCGGATAAGAGGCATTAATTGCCTACCACAGACGTTTTATAGTCGGGTATAATCGGGGATAAGTTGGTCCATCGCATGCCCCATGGGTCGGTCTAGATAGCCCAGCGGCAGTTAATGTAAGCGGCTATAGTACTAGAGCTAGCAAAATGCACGACAACCTTTTCACTATTTACGGCCGTGTTACATAGAAAATCAAAGAAATACCTAAAGCCGTCGCTTTATTAACATGTTACCTTCATTACAAAACACTTGCCATGCAGTATATTCTCTTCTTTAATCACGTTTAATTATTAAAACATCACGACATAAAAATCACGCAAACTTCGCTACACACAAAACTGCCAATCTTGCATTGAACTGCACCGAAAAACGTCACAGCGATGATTTCATTGGCCGGTGAGAAATTTCGTTGTGCAGTTCAATGCAAGATTGGCAGTTTTGTGTGTAGTGAAGTTTGCGTGATTTTTATGTCGTGATGTTTTAATAATTAAACGTGATTAAAGAGGAGAATACTGCATGTCCTGCATGGCAAGTGTTTTGTAA